CCCCCCCCCCCCCCCCCCCCCGTTTTTTTTTTGCTGCCTTCTTGGTGTCCAGGTGGACTGATGGTGCCTTAGGAGACCGTCCCGGAGCCGCGGCCCCCGCCCCTACCCGGCGGGGTGAGGGAGTGAGGGCAGCGGCACCGTTCCCTATCTACATTGACGAGCAATTCGTGGAGAAGGAGGAGCATGTGAGCGATCCGCTTTGTGTGACCCCCACCCCCCTCGTATACCTCACGGCGCTTGGCGCTTGGTGATGTGCTACAAGCCTGGTCCGGTGAACACCCGGCGTATCGCTCCGTCCCGGCCTTGTTGGGATGCGAGTGTTGGGTATGTAACCTTGTGATAAGTTGTATCCCTGACAGCAGTGACTCTCAAAGGGTAGTTATCCTGAGGGGGTGATTATACTGGTGTTTACAGCAGCACAAATACAAGTGACTGACGTTGAACACCGTAGGTTGCATGGCGTAAGATATCACACCCCCTGGACTTATTTTCAAAGCTCGATTACTTCACGGCGAAGAGGATGCCGAAATTGAAGTGTACGCTTTCGGAAAGCTCTCGACGAGACGGTCCCATCACCGCCATTTTCGGCACCGTTACTGCTTTTCCTGCCGATACATATATCGAGCTTCGAAAATTGGTCCAGGGGGTGTGATACCTTGTGCAACCTACGGTATTCCAAAGGCGAGGTCAATGGTCTAACGACTACGGCATGCACGGCTGTGAATCCCCCGCCCCCCCCGTCATGTGTGGCTTTAATACTGAGTGCGGGCTCCCAAAGTTTCGGCAAGCAGTACCATACGTTGACAAGCAGCTCGTCGAGAAAGAGATGCGTCTGCTCCCTCCCACCCCCTCGATGTGGCTTTCTGCTTGCAGTAGTCCGGCCCGCTCGTGCTTGCCAGACGCTATTTTTTTGTCTGATTTTGCTGCCGCCTCTCTCTTGTGTGTGTGTCTGTCTGTGTGTGTCTCTCTCTCCTCTCTCCTCTCTCCACTCTCCTCTCTCCTCTCTCCTCTCTCCTCTCTCCTCTCTCCTCTCTCCTCTCTCCTCTCTCCTCTCTCCTCTCTCCTCTCCCCACACGGTTAGGCTAACCCTGCTGCCACCGCCCCCCACAACCCCGGTCCATCGGCGAAACGCCCGCCGCCCGGGGGAGGATTATCGGTAAGGCGTCAGCTTGATCCCAAGGTTGGGGGGTCCGGGGGCTCCGCAGCATCAGCGGCGGTGGGGGGGGTGGGGCGTAAGGAGCTCCTGGCGAAAGACCCGCTGTTCTTTGTGAAGGTGAGAGAGAGAGAGAGAGAGAGAGTCGATTTTACTGCAAATAGAGTGGATAAAAGCTATTGCAGTAGAGGTGGTCCCCGGTGTAGTATATGTTGCCGGTGCGATCCAGCCGGTTTTACATACCGGCATTGCAGCGGGCAACCGGCACTTATTCAGAGTATCAAACAGCTTTGAACATAGCATCTTTTCCGCACGATTGCACCGGCACTGTAGCGGGCAACCGGCACTTATTTAGAGTGTGAAAAAACTTGAAAATATCACCTGTACCAGTCGATTTCACCGGCAATATGCCGCACTCCCCCGGTAAAGGACAGCTCTTTATTTGTCAGGCATGGTAGCTCACGGAATGTACAACATCAAGAGGGGTATCAGCCTTAAGGACACTTACTTCCCCCGGCTTAAGGACACCTGTTGAAACCAAGATTCCTGTGTGTCATTAACCGAAAGACGATTGTATCCACTCCCAGCGTGTAACCCGTTTTTTTCCTTTATTCTTTTTTCTGTGCTGTCGCCGTTAATTTTGTTCTTTTTTTTTTTCACACTTAACCGAAAGACGATTGTATCCACTCCAAGCGTGTAACAAGTTTTTTTTTTTTCTGTGCTGTCGCCGTTTCTTTTTTTTTTTGCCAGAACGATAAAGCCGCAAACGCGGACGAGCGACGGCTTGCGAGGTCCAACCAGGAGCTGTTGGCCTCTGACCGGGGAGAGAACGAGGGAGAGAAGGAGGAACACGATGAGCAGGTGGAAGAGGTGAGCGAGCGCAGCTGCCGATGGCGGCGGCGTTGTTGCTGTCGCGGTGGTTGTGCTGAAGAGAAGTGTTTGTTGCGTCTGTGGACGACGGTGTTGTATTTCGGCGGTGATTCGACGGCCTTTTGCGGTATATTGAGAGTCAATGTTTTGTCCGGAGATAGGTACGTGTGTTTAGCCCAAGGGCCTGTGTTGGCGACGACTATTTTTTCTTTATGTCGTTTTGATGACGCTTTATTTTTGTTTGTGTCGTTTCGGCGGCGACTATTTTTTCTTTGTGTCGTTGTAGTGACGATTGATTTTTCTTTTATGTCGTTGTGGTGACAGTTTTTTTCTTCTTTTTTGTCGTCGTGGTCACTGAAGGCGGGGTGGTGCATGTTTTTTGGCCGCGCCATTGCTCTACGGCGGCAAGTTCAGTCGCATTGCGGTATTTCCATCAGAAGCGATAGTTTTTCAGGAGACAGCAGATGCTGGTCTGGTTTGCTCCCTTTGAATCAGTGGTACTTGTATTGAAGGTACCATGGTGTCAACGTAAGGTTAGAGGATATCAACGCCAATGTTCTCTCTTTGTTATCATTCATCGCCTTGGCTGCGTGACGGACACTGTGTTTGGAGCGGAGGTATTGCACGGCGCTGGTATCGTGTCAGCGTGGGTTGTGGAGATGGGAGACCCCGGCGTGCTTGCTTTCTTTGCTATCGTTCGTCGCCGTGGCTGCGTGGAGGACACTGTCTTTGGAGCGGTGGTATTGCACGGTGGTATCGTGTCAGCATGGGTTGTGGGGATAGCAGACCCCGGTGTGCTTGCTCTCTTTGGTATCGTTTCGTCGCCGTGTGGGGGTGACGGCCGCGTACACCACACACCGTTCCATTCATTTTTTGTCCATCTGTGAATGCTGTATATGTAGAGAAAGGAGTTTCGTACCCCTGTCCGGAACCATTGAACGCAAGCTTTATATCCACGCGAAGGATAGTGTTTTTAGGTGGCACGTATTTTGATGTTTTTCTACTACAACTCCCCCCCCCCCCCCCCCCCCCCCCCCCACTCCAAACACCACCCCCCCCAACCCCCCCCCCCCCCCCCCCCCCCCA